AGCATGTCGTCATCTTCCTGGCTTCCCCTCCGTCTACCCAGGTACATTCAAAATCCCAGCCCTACCCCTGAAAGACTAAATCAGAATCTGCATTTTAACACCATTCCCTCAGGGATTCATATGCATCCTAAACATGGCAAACACTCCCCTAAAACACATAAAGTTCACTTTCCTGCCTCCCAATGGATGAAACTTCTGAACCCAAACTAATGCCACATTCAAGTGTGTGGGGCTGGTTGTCTGTAGGGCTGCTGTTTTAGAAAAACAAGAACTAACTAGAGTCAAGTCAGGTGCTAGGATCTGATCCCTTTTTCTCTGTCAGTCTCTCTTTGCCTGCTTCCTTCCTCCCCATCTGCTCCCCGCCTGGTGACGAAAGCACAGTATACAGAGGAACAGCACAGAGTCAAAACTTCTATGCTGATTTATTTTTTTTTAATATTAAAGACTATTCAGCCAGAGCAAACTGAAAGCAAAATAGTCATGTTCTGCATCTGCCCACCTTTATGCCTCTTTGCCCTCTGCGTGACCTCCTTATGCTTCCGTGTGCATCTTCTGGAAGGGACAAGACGCAATATTTACTGGTGTAGGCAGGTGCTCTAGGTCAAGTTTACTCATTTAATGCTTATGCCAACAGGAAATACCGCCACAGATGGGGAACACAGAGTCAGGTTCACGTCAGTCCCCGTCAGTGACATTCCAATTATCCACTGTTGTCACAACTACTGGGCAGAATATAAAAAACAGAAAGGAAATTCTGAGACCGCTGGAGAAAGCCATCATGGAGCATGGCCAGGTTTTACTGGGGTGCTCCAATCCAAACAACATTACAGGGTCTTCCCTAAGCCCGCTCTCTGCTTTAATCTCCAGCATTTTAAAACTCAGCTACCTCTCTGATAGCTACAAACCTACAAGACACTTAGTCATTATCATTTTGTGGAGCAGGACACTGGGGCGCCAATGGATTTAAGCCTCTTGCCCACGACTGCAGACACACTGAGCTTTTCTGATCCCACGTCGCCTTCCTATTCCACCATCACATCAAGTCTCCTGTTGGCAGCTCAGCACTGCCTCGCTTCTTCCGTGCTCCCCCTTACAACCCAAGGACAGGAAGCCTGAGGTTTATGCTCCCAAGGTTCTCTGCCAGCAACTGTCAGCCTTAGATCCCACTAAAGGGAGGCATTTCATAAACTAAAGCATTTCATGACAGAGTCATAATGTAAGTTTTGTGGATGAAAGTAACTGGGATTACTAGGCATCCTGTATTTCTGCAACTGCCTGACTCCAAGGAAACAAGCAGAAAAAAGCAAGAGCCAACACAGCCTTCTCTGCCCTCTGCTTGCCAGTGCCTCCAAAGGTTTTCCAAGCATCTAAATCCTTGTATTAATTCCCTTCCTGTTTGCGTGCCTAGAATGGTTTCTATTTTTCTCACCAAACCCTCAGTAAGACAACCATACGGACAGCCTTTCACTCCTGTCCTTGAGCTGCCATTCTCTCTTGTACATCACTCTTTATAAAAGCACCCACATTTACAAACATTTGTTTATTTTTTTCCAGCTGCTTCTGTATGGACTAAAGTAATTTAATGACAGAGCTCATAACCTAATTTTTGTGATCCCTGTTCCAAGCACATAGTGGATGCTTGGTAAAGCACAGACTACGTAGGAAAGAAGTATTTCTTTACTAAATATCATTCACCTACTTCCAGGATTGGATCCTTTTAAGAAATGCACACGCAGAGTGGGATCACCGAGATAAGAATGGTCCTGAGCACTGAAACTCTGATGTCTTAAGAGATTGAGGGATAGGATGGGGGTATGATGAAGGATTCAAAGGATGCTTCCTCTTGCCTGAAAGCTACTGGAACATCCAGAGATACAGCAACCCCAGCTCAAGGGAGCAGCTTCTGTTGATGTTCCTTAAAAGCCGGCTCTAAGTAGACTAAGAAATCCTAAGGGTTCAACTGAATGTCCTTTCTTACGTCCATATCCCAGCTGAAATCTGACATCTGTGTTTCTCTCTTAACTGTGTTTTTGTTGTTTTTTTTTAACAGATGTTTCATGATTCTTCCTGACTCACATCTAAACCCAATGGTTTCATACTCTTATTTAAGGGTAATAATCAGAGATAACCATTTACGGATTTTTTTACATGTATATACTGAAATTTTTTTCCTTCACCATTCTGCCACACCTTACTCCCAAATAGACAGATGATTCCCTACTCATATGCTCAGAGGAGGAATATAACAGGACGACAGTCTCTGATCACCACGGACCTTGTTTCAAAAGGTCAGGTGAGGGGAGGTTGTAGGGTGGCAATGAGGTCATAGGAACGTGGCCTATCCAGGCAGGAGGGACCACTGAAGCGTCCCAAATCTGTGCCTCCGAAGTCGAGAGCAGGACCATGCTCACCGGGACTCACCATCCCAGGAATGCCTATGTGGATGCAAAACTTGATGAGCAGAGGAAGTCTCCCACCAAAAGCTGGATGGATAGTCTGTTTGATTCCAGAAACTTGGCACACCCTGAAAACAATTCAATTGCATTTCCCTGCAGACTAATAAAATGGGCTTTTGAACCAGAGATAAAACCAACTTAGAGCAATAAAAAGTTACATTTAATACACCCTGAATTTGTGGTTTGAGAGTCACACCTGCTACAAACTCAAGAACTCAGGCTGCTACTTGGAGAGATGCTCTACCCCCTAATTCTCAGTCCAAAGCCATCCAATCTGGGGCTTTGCAACCATTCCGCCCAGTTGGAAGCAAGGAGTGGCTTAATCTGTGACTGGCTGCAGCTTGACCGGCCCTGGAAGGACATAACCAATAGGTGCAGCAACAGAGAGTCTCTCGTTTTAAGTGGAACAAACCACCACAAGTCAAAATCAGTCACAGAAGAAAAAGAACCAAGTAAAACTCTGGCAATCGGTTAGTCAGTGAACTTTCACATTCACTATGAGGCTTTACAGGGTATTTATAAACACAATGCCTAGTACTCAAACAGTGTTTGTTATATGCTGAGCCGGGGCCAAGTGATTTAACCCACGTCATCGTTACCACAAGCTGATGAAGTAGGTTCAGTATTCATCCCGTTTTATAAGGACATGGAGATACCTGGGGATAACATGACTTACCCAAGGTAGTGGCTCTTAGACTTGAACTGAGTCAGTCTAGCTCAGAGTCCCCCTGACCCCCTACAGGACTGTCTATGCCCACAAATGCTCAGATAGTTTAGGCAGTATAATCCCAAAGGAAGAGATTATCAGATCCACTCCCTATACATTAAAGATGAGGACACACCAGCAAAGAGATTAAAGAGGTGTGCTCAGTATCCTATAGCTCAGTATATCACTCATCTTTGTTTTATGACGAACAATACTCACTGTCAATCAGATGAACCGTTTTGTTTATAATGTGACCCAAAGGGCAAAGCAAAAGTTTTAAACCCAGTCTTCTACAACCTTCCAGGAGTTTTACCTCAGCTTCTCTAAAGCTGACATGAGACCTGAGTGACAGGAGGTCACACAAAACACCCTGATGGGATATCTCTGGGTGTCCTCCTGAGAAGCAAGACTGTGCTAAGAAGTCATTTAAGAGAAGAACAGGCAAGGAGCTCAGAGAGAGGAAACCCAGGGACTGTAACGTGGTCGTTCAAGAAGCAGGGAATTTGATTCGGAGCAATTTGTTCTCTACTCTTATTGAAACACCTACAATTAGAAACCTCTACTTTGGAAATGTGATCTTTTTGTTGCTCTGTTTCTGTTCCATCCATTTCAAAATAAGACCCCTATGGAAAATCCTTCATGACCCCTAAGACAAAGCCATCACTGTAATTCTCCCTTATCCTTCAGTAAAGGCCAGCAGGTAACCGTAGCATCTTACTGGCAGGTCCGAAGTCCCCTGATGAAGTATTATTAGTGAAAATGAGACCCACTTCTGTCTCCTGAAGGAGAATGATCTAATTGTGGGCCGAGTTGTTTTTTAAGTCCATCATGGGCACAAGATGTTGCAACAAGAAATCTGAGTTATTTAGCTCCCTGGGCACTCAGTGACTCACGTCTTAATCCCCTTCACTTTGGGTGTGTTGACAAGTCCTGTCATTGATAAACTCAGCCTCGCCTTCTAATAACCGCTGAAAGCTGAATCAGATGATATTAGAAAAAAATGTCACTTACTGGCTTCTAACCTTTTCAACCCTTACTTCTGTTTCCATCCTAAGAATATTCTCACTGCTTGTACAAAAGAAAGATGATGATGAATTCGAGGACTCTGGCAACCTGCAAAAACACGCTTAAGAGTGAAAACAGAAGCAAGTAAGGATTGAATTGCTGTTGAGAAGGCTGTTGAGAAAGCTCCCCAAACAAGGTAATTTAAGAAAGACTTAAGTTGAGGAACTGTGGCTAAGCAAGAAGGAAAAAAAAAAAAAAGAAAATTCTTGCTACCAGCACGCTATGTTGTTTTAAGTTAAGAAGCAAAAATGTGCTCTGTACCTTGGAGTCTATCTCTGTTGTGATTAACACCAGGGTCCTCTTTATTCAATTAGAAAAGATGTAATAGATCTAAAAATTAAAGAGGGCCCAGAGAGAAGAAAGACGTGTTTAAATTATTAGACAGCTACTTGCCTTCAAATGCTCTAATAAATTTGTTAAATTTCAATTAAATTGAACTTGGCATGGAAAAGAAACTAAAAAAAATAAAACTAAATAAAATTTGAAAACCTAATAAAATAAAAGCTTTATAGGTTAGCGTTGCCTAGAAAGATACCAAAAGGGAGACATGAGCTCAGGGTCAACCCAGTCAGATTGACTCTCCTTTCATTCTCCCTTGAAGGCACCTGGTTCTGGGGACCTTACTACCAGGCAGACAACTAGCTTTGTTGTGCTTTCGGACCAGCCATGGAATAGAGCATAGAGTGAAATAGAGGTAGTGACCAGCTCACCCCGGCCCTTAAGGTTTTCCAGTGCCTACCACCCTGGCACAGGCAGATGGCCACAGGACTTACCGCATTAAAATTGGGGAAGAGGTTGACTGCGGCCGCAGTGTCAAGAGGAAAGGGAAGAAACGGTTTAATGTCCAGCGATGGTTGCAGAGGAGGGGCTGGTGGGCGGACCAGGGCTGGGAGAGCAGGGCTCTGGCACGTACCACCTGCACAGGAGAGAAAAGGGAACGATCAGGGGCATCGCACGTGTCAAACATACAATACGCAAACACCACAGTCTCTTTTGAGACCAAAAGGCCAGCTTCAAGGATCACTGGAAAAAAACAAGGCACGGAGTGTGCTGACTTCAACTGGGGACCGGCCAGTGCACGGCTGTGTCTTGAAGCAGAGGAAGCCTGTGGAGCTGCTCCCTTTTCCTTGTTGGATTAGAACTATCCAATTAATGCAAGGAATTGTTAACATTTCAGACATATCATATTCCCCAATCCATCCTTCTTTTCCTGCCTAGAGCTCTGGATTGAGTCAGTAACAAATCTGTAGCCATGATCCCTTGATTCAAAGGGGAGACCCCTCCACTGCTCCCCCATCCCTCTTTGAAAACTAACTTTTGCTCAAAATATGCATCCAGTATGAGCGTTTAATTTACAGAACTGCTCTTTTCTACTACCTCCAAAACTCTGGCAGCAAGATGACATGAACCTGGCAGGGACAAGGAACTTAACCACAAACACAGGCAGCCACACCTTACTGCCTTGGCAACTGGAAGATTAAAACCAGCAAATCCAGCTACTAATCATGCAGTCCCTGCGCTATTTACACCCCTGTGGCTCTGAACATTCAATGACAACCTGCCTCCTTCCCAGTCACGAACAGGTGGAATTTAGAAGATCACCGATGAGCAGGCAATGGGATATTATAGCAACATAGACACCTCCTTTGCATATCAGTGGGCAATCAGCTATTTGCAAGGAAATCGCACCTTTGCCCCCTTCCTAGGACTCCAGTGCATTCAGAAGGTAAAAGGACAGAAGCCCACTTTTCCTGTTCTGTCTCCCATATTTTGGTAACATTCCAAAACATCAATTTGTTGTTAATTAAAGGCTGTTTGAATCCTAGGAAACTGTTAAACTATGCCAGCCTTCTAATCTGAGAGGCAAGCAACAGACTGTTAAAAAAAAAAAAAAAAAAAAAAAACCCTGCTGGTGAGAATCCAAGAAGCATTAGGAAAACAAAATGCAGTGGGATTTTTGCTGTTCTCCTGGAAGAGAATTTTAAGAGACAGAAAAGAGAAGAAAGGTTCCTGTCTGTGCTGCGTACTTGCCTGCTATCTTGTTTTTAAAACAAAGTGGAGTGAAATCCCACACAAATGATCTTTACAAATCTCACAGTCAGTGCCGGTCAACTGCACGCACACCCCCATCATCTTGCTCTCAGCCAGTTACCCGAACAAAGGTAAACACTTAAAAAATGATCCCCCAATGCTAAAGCCAACCCTACTGGACCAGAAGATCTACTAACAAGGTGGGTGACTTAATACGTGTAACAGAAGCCATCAGCGCAGGATTTAATTAACCATCCCCAGGAAAACCATTAGCTCTCCTGGCTCCAAGTATAAAATCAACTGGAGCCAAATTAACACAACCAGTATTTCCCCCCGCCTCTTTTCACTTCCCTCTTGAAGTGTTCCTCTGCAACCACAAGGCCAGTAACAGCAAGTCTGAATCTGCCAACGAATTAAAATAAAAAGTAGTCCAAGTCAGGAAGTGCGGGGCAGACGTTAAAACAAACAGATAAAAGCAAACTATAACACGTCTACATTCACCAGAGCACATCGTAAACTTAGTTTATGGCCCACCTGGCGGTACACTTGCTTGGAGAGGACATTCATAGAACTTTGGTGATGGACCTGTCATGACTTTGGTATTGCTGACAACTTCTCTTTTGATGAAAAGTTAAAGAACCAAAAAATAAAATTTTGGTGGATGTCTCTTTAGAAAACTCAGGAGTAAAATAAGTTTGAGTTGGAATCAGTGGTATAGCTTAACAGGTTTACAAAAATAATAGTGAGCTTTCAATAAATAATTAGAAATTATTATTATCTGTATCACGTCCTTTGCAAAAAGTATTTATTCATGCACACTGATTACCTTGTTTGACCCTAAAATCTCAGAAATCGGGTAAGGGCCAACATAATATCATGGAGAAAGAAATAAGTTGATAAACTCTTTAGCTGTTTGTGTTGCATCCAAAGAGATATTCTATTCTTATAATTACAAGAATACAATTTAGCAGGAACATATTCTGTAATTATTTCATTTATCAGTCTCTCTCTGGTTCAGGATATCCAAAGAGGTTCAGGGCAAACTCAAGCTTCTTTTTTTATCCACTAAAATGAGAGAAACAAAGAATAGATATATGTTGATTTGATTGCCAGGGAAGTTAACTCCGGCCTTCCTTTCTCCCAGACACTTAATTCCTTTGCATTCCATTATACAGATAATTCAAGGCTCTTTCTCAGTGTTGCAACGGGAGTTTCCTACCTAGGAGACAAAGAAAACACCAGAGTCATAAAACTGGGGAGAAGGTGAAGCTACTACTTGTGTCCATCCCCTACTACCTGTTTGAAGGGAGAAACCTGAAAGATCAGTGGAAAACAAAGAACACGTGACCACATATTCTTTGGCTACTTGCTCTGCAAATCCAGGTGTAGTGGATGCTGTGGTATGCTCCTGAGATCCCCCTTCCCAACGAAGGCACATATCCCCCCAACTGCTGGGGAGCCACCACTGATGTCTCTACCTGGGATCCTCTTCCAGCACTGCCTTGGATCAAAGGGAGCTGCTTAAACCAGGGTCAAAGTTCCTCCCAAGTAGAGGGGCTGGTAGCCCCAGGTAACGATGGATTCATGCAGGGGTTTAATGCCTTCTCCCCCTTGCCTCAAGCCAGGGCAACCCTGAAGCTCTATGTCAGCTCTAAAGCACCTCATAGAACCTAGGACAGACTGAGACCTCTGTTGTGACTGCATCACAGTTCAACTTCTCCCTTTGCTCAGGCCTGAATCTCTGATTCTTCGCAGGAGATGGTGCCCAGTAAAGTCTCAGAGTCCACATCCAGCAGCACGTGACCTATGACACCAGAGTATAACAATTCATGGGTCTAAGTGAAACACCGGATTACTTTATTCTAACACAGAGAACTGCCTCCAAATCTATGGCTTAAAATTGAGGCACAAAATTGAGGCTACATCTTAAAAATTATCTGGGGCTAATATTTCTGCCTTTAAAATTAGGATACATTCTCAAACATTTTACTTATAGCAATCTGTATGTGCTCAACAGCAAGAACATTATTTGCAAATAGTGTAAAATCAAAAGCAGCAAACAAAATATGTTTCCCCTGCAAAGCTGATTAAATATGCTCCTTGAGAAAACAACTATTTCATTCTTTCATTTTTTTAAATTGAAGTTATTATATTTAGGACATGAATACATATTTATTATTCTTTTCTTTATTATAAAATTATCTCAACAATGATAAACATCAAAATATATAATGAATTTGTAGACAGGCCTACAGGTTTAAAAAAAGAGTTGTTCTGTTGTTATTATTTACCAAGTTTTGCTTTATTCATTGGAGTGTCACGTTTCTGGAAATATTGATGTTCTTAATTTGAGAAAAGGTTTTTGAAGCCTTTGTGGAATAGACACTGAAAAAATAACAAATTCATGTCCTTTGTCTATGGACACTCTATGCCAAATTTCTTATATGCCATGAAAGTCAACAAACTAAAAAAATTTTATTGAGTAGAGATTAATTATTATAGTTATACTGAAAAAGGTGTTGAATAATGAAGGTAAATAAGATAAATAGGATGCAGTAAGTTCACAAAACTCTCCGGCCCTTTTTGATGACTGGTTTTGTTAGTTTATATTCATATTTAGAATTTGGAATTGAACTATAGTGCAAACATATTACAGACTGCTTCGGTCTGCTCACAAGACAGCTGTGTATTCACAGAAGTACAAATCTGTGCATTTGCAAAAAGTACCAGAATAACCTAGCTGTTAATAGAGACTATCTGAGGAAGTAAGGTGCATTCACTTCAAAAGTTTGCGTTTTTGAAAATCTAATTAAAACGTAAAAAAAAAAAGACACAAATGAACTTATTTACAAAACAGAAACAGACTCACAGACATAGAAAACAAATTTATTGTTACTGGGGGGAAAACAGGTGGGAAGGGATAAATTGGGAGTTCGAGATTTGCAGATACTAACTACTATTATATAAAATAGAGAAACAAGAATTTTCTTCTGTAGAGCACAGGGAACTGTATTCAGTATCTTAAAGTAACTTACAATGAAAAGGAATATATGTATGTGTATGTATGACTGAACCATTATGCTGTACTCCAGAAACTGAGACATTGTAAACTGACTTCAATACTTCAATAAAAAATGTAAATTTGGAAATGTGTGTTTCAATATCTTAGACAGATAAATAACTGGTTTATCTTGTAAACCAGTGGTTGTCAGTTGACTCTATCGTATTAGAGAGAAAGTCTATAGAGTGCCGAGCAGTGGGTCTGGCCAGTGACCACTGAGTGAGGGATATTTTTTTAATGAGCCCAATAAATTCCAAAGGAGCCATGGTTCAAGGTGGTCCAGACAGAAATCCAGGCTCCCTGAAAGTGGTCAATCAAGATGATTTTAAAAGCACCTGAGTATTTTTCACTTTTTTTATTTTGATCCCAGCAGAAAGAAAGACTTTACAATAAAAGGTCACTCTGTAAATCAGTATTTTGAAATATTCCTCAAGAGCCGGATAATGTTCTTTCCCTCATGTGACACTTTTAACCTTGAACTTCTGCACTTGATCTATCCGAGGTTCATCAGTCACAGACGTCCTGACAGCTTCACCTGCTACTTAATCATTCATTTCCTCAAACGACAAAACCAAAGCTCAAAATGATTAAGGGTTGATGCTGTTAAATATTCATGACAGTACATGCTTTAGAACTGTGAATCATTAAAATATATAGATATACAGCTAAATATGTTATTATCAAATAACATACATTATATTATATATATTATAATATTATTTATAGAAAGCAGAGAAATCCCTGATTTCCTGATGGGAGGAATAATATTATACTATATATAATAATATTATTATTTATAGGAAGTAGCCAAAATCCCTGATTTC